TATATTTTAGACGAGGAAAGTACCTGTAAAAATATTTATCCGAAAGCCAATTGTAATCAACCCCAGTGACTTGTTTGCGCTAATCCAGATTTTTCATTTGTGTGCTAGTGAAAGCCCTCTGTGCACACAATACAGAACAGGGAATGTGTATGCAATCACAATTCTCTGTATAACCTGCACAACTGAGCCAAAAAAACTATAGCTCTGCAAGAAGGCTAGGGAGGGGCATAGGGTCCACCTCTCCTAACACTTTCCTGAATATGGGGAAGGGCACACAGCTAGCAATGTCAGAGGATTCCCAAGGAAATGGGAGCAGAAATTGCCAAGGTTTGCTTCTTTACCCCACGCTCGGAAAGGAAATCAATCCAGCGAATACAATCGATATTCACTGTTGCTGTTGTTTTCAATCCATAAATAATATGGATTGAATTTGCACTGCATTTCCTTTGCAGTTAAATGAATGGTGTGGAATAACATGAGAACCATGTAAGTAATTATGTAGAATTGTGCCACACCAGGCAGCAAGTCAAGTAACATAGCTTTTGTCAGAAGCCAAGCTGCAGTGGAATGGAAATATCGCTGCATGCAACAGCTATTACACAGAACAGAAATCAGTACCTTTTACGCCTACATTAAATGAACTCCCCGTCCTAAGTAGCCCAGTCTTTTTTTCAATTTTGGTCACAGTGGCCACCGTTTCCCTGTCTTTCCTGTTGGGATTGCATGTTGGGAAACATGCATGCCATTGCATGTTTCAGTAAGGGTCAAAGATATTTTGGAGTTTGTAACTAGAATGAAGATTCCTAGCAAAGATCAGAGGATGGTTTTCTGATACATTCAAGATTAAACTGCAAAAAGCAGCACAATGTAAGAACATTTATTCTGGTTATTTTTTATACTACCCAATAACCAGAAACATAGCTACCTATGAAGAATGGTCATACATGATCTGTGAAAGAATGAGAAGTGTTGCGTTCTGTTTAGAGGCTGTTATCCTAATTGCTCTTATGATTAACTGCTAAACTGTTTTGATTTTTTTCCCCTTAGAAACATATTGCTTAGAAAAATCTCAAATTGTTGGTGATTAAACCTTGATGGCTTGATTTCCATACCATGCATAACTGCCTTAACCAGATTTATCCCCTCACAGAGCTACAATTCTCAGCACCCATAACAAACGGCAGTTCCCAGGATCCTTTGGGGAGTGCTTTAAATATATAGTGAGTACATGGCTGAAAAGGGACGTGGGTGGCACTGTGGCTTAAACCACAGAGCCTAGGACTTGCCGATCAGAAGGTTGGCAGTTTGAATCCCCGCGACGGGGTGAGCTCCCTTTGCTCGGTCCCTGCTCCTGCCAACCTAGCAGTTCGAAAGCACGTCAAAGTGCAAGTAGATAAATAGGTACTGCTCCTGCGGGAAGGTAAACGGCGTTTCCGTGCGCTGCTCTGGTTCGCCAGAAGCAGCTTAGTCATGCTGGCCACATGACCCGGAAGCTGTACGCCGGCTCCCTCGGCCAATAAAGCGAGATGAGCACCGCAACCCCAGAGTCGGCCACGACTGGACCTAATGGTCAGGGGTCCCTTTACCTTTACATGGCTGAAAGCTGGGATTAGTGTGCATGTGTCTGCTTTCAAACAGTTTTGGGGATTGGGATTTATGAGCCTATTGGGGGTCTTGCTCAAAGCTCTGCGCATAGCCCTAAAAATATCGACATGTCAACCCCCTAATTGTAGGTTTATAAATGTGGCCTCTGCCACAAGGCAATATAGAACAATTTCATTTATATGAATTAACTGGGCTGACATCCAAAACATTACGAAAAGTGGAA